AATGACATAATGGCTTAAGCATGCCATGACAACTTCAATACCAACAGAAACGTAACTGAATCAAAATTGAACAAATTATAAGAAATTATCACATTACTATTGTGGAATAGATGCATTACTTACATTTTAAAACATTAACGGCATTTAACATGCTTAATATATATATTTATCAAATAGCGTCAAGCAGGGCTAGACGATCATTTATTTATTTATCCCTGCCTTTACAGCACACAACCACACGCAAGTTGGTGTTTGTTAGGGCAGTGTGAATATGACAGCATTTTCTAAATTATGCAGTCAAACGTGATAGCCTTAAATGCTGTGAAATCAATTTGGATATTTTATAAATCCTCATATGCTGTTTTCAGCACTGAAAACTTTACCTTTTTTACATGCTTAACTTACCAATGCAAACGTGTCCAGTTTTTAAGTGAGATAGCCTTGACGATGTTTGTGCCATTGTCCGTTGTAATGCACACCTGGCAGTCCTCGCTAAGGCCCCAAGATGTGAGTGCATCCTCCAGACCTGCAGAGAGTATGGTCGTCCGGAATATATGCAGTTTGCAAGCATCTTGATTGCAGACCCCACTCCTCGTCAATGTAATGAATGGTGAGGCTCATATATGGCTCGGATGTCCGGCTCGACCATAGGTCGGAGGTAGTGGCAAAAAAATCTCACATCCCTTAGATTATTTTCCAGCTTTTCGCGGCACTCTTCATATAGCTGAGGCAGTGCGGTTTTGGAAAAGTATTTTCTGTCAGGGAGTTCGTACCGGCAGTCAAGCACTTTAACTAATTTCCTAAACCCGTCTTGTTCCACTGTGCTTAGGGCCATCATTTCTTTCGCTAGAAAGTAAGAAACGGCCCTGATTATGTCCTTGCTCTTTTTGGAACTCTTTTCTAAATAGGGAGTAAGACCCACGAATTAACTAGCCTTAATAGGTTAGTTACACTTTCGTCGCCGCTTCCACTCATTTTTTTTTTGTCGTTGTCGTGTTGAGTTTGCTTCGCAAAGTGTGGTAGGAAATGGACTCTGTACTGTGACGTGCACGCTGATTGGCTGTTGTCGCATATTTCTGCTGTGTGGCTCTTAGATCAATCCATATCGAGTAAAAATGTCCAGAGCTTATCATCGTTATCGACGATTCGATATGATATCGTTTATCGGCCCAGCCCTACTAGAAGGTGACTTGACTTAATGTTGTGTGCAGAACTGTTTATTAAAGAATGTTTATTAAGTGTCCAAGGAGAAAACAAAAAGTACTTCAAAAGCAAAGTATATGTAAATACTATGGCAATCAACAGATTCATGGGCAATAGATTCATTTGAAGGTCTGTGGCTAATGAAGTAGTAACTTCAAACACATTTTGTTACAGTATCAGTTTAATACTGACCTCTTTATCAGCGTCCTCTGCTTCTGAGATCTGAGAGATGGGCTTTCTGGGGACCACCAAGAAGTGAGTGGGAGCCTGAGGGGCCACATCATGGAAGGCAATACACTAATACACAAACACAGAGAAAGTTTAACAACGTGTATTCTACATTCAACTAGGTGTATGAAATATATATTTAAAATGAAGCATAAAAATAGCACAGCTGCTGTGCAACAAAAACCATTCATTAACATATGCGCAATGGCAGCACGTGGAGAAATGCGACAGTTCACAGTCAAGTGCAGAACTAGCGCAAAATTACGGCACATTTCCAGATCTCCTCGATTCCAGCTGAACTGCAGAGCTCGAGTTGAATTTGCAACTGAACAGAGATCAGACCGTTTATGGTTCTCACTGAAGATCATTTTAATGCTGCAGCAGCAGGCGCAGAATCAACCGCATTAGCGTGTCAGCGCTGAAGCAGTGCAGCTGCACAAACAGACCGCACCTGATCATCTTCATAGATGATGTTGGCAGGAATCTCTTTGCGGATGATTTTCCCGAAGATCGTGTCTCCTCCCGCCTGCGCGCCCTGAGCTCGAGACACCTCATCCGCCATGATGACCACAGACTCAGAGACCTGCTTCTGTCAATCACGCACAGCTCAGAACGACAACGATTGGACAATTCCCTCTGACGACCGAGCACATGATTGGACAGCTAAAATTAACTATTTTTCATAATAAAAGCATCAAGCGAAGTTTTTAACGTTTATTTAATCTAATATGTGACCCTGGAGCACAAAAGCAGTCATAAGTCGCTGGGGTATATTTGTAGCAATAGCCAAAAATACATTGTATGGGTCAAAATTATCATTTTTTCTTTTATGCCAAAAATCATTATCCATTATCAATATGGATATTAAATAAAGATCATGTTCCATGAAGATATTTTGTAAATTTCCTACCGTCAATATGTTAAAACTTAACTTTTGATTAGTAATATGCATTGCTAAGAACGTCATTTGGACAACTTTAAAGATGATTTTCTCAATATTTAGATTTTTTGCACCCTCAGATTCCAGATTTTCAAATAGTTGTATCTCGGCCAAATATTAACAAACCATACATGAATGGAAAGCTTATTTATTCAGCTTTCATTTTATGTATAAATCTCAATTTCCAAAAATGGACACTTATGACTGGCTTTGTGGTCCAGGGTCACA